TCTAATGGCTGCATAATATTCCATTGTGTATAGATACCACAATTTTTGGATCCATTCATCTGTGGTGGGACATCTGGGTTGTTTCCATATCCTAGCTATTGTGAACAGTGCTGCAATAAACCTGGAGGTGCATGTGTCCTTGTATACTGGCTCCTGTTGTTCAGGATAGATGCCTAGAAGTGGTATGACTGGGTCGTAAGAGAGGTCAATATTTAGCTTTCTGAGGACCCTCCAGACTGCCTTCCAAAGTGGTTGTATAAGTGTACATTCCCACCAGCAGTGTAATAGGGTTCCTCTTTCTCAGCATCCCTTCCAGCATTTGTTGTTGGCTGACTTGTCCCACCCCTATTTTAAAGTATAACAAAGGGGTTAACTTTAGGCATCTGAATGGTAGGTCTTCATACCTTCTCAAGGTATGGGCTTAGAAATTTTAAGCCTATACAAGAAATTGTTTTGTTGAGTTCTACAAAAGTACCCTTTTGTGAATTTGAGATTTGTGAAATAATGAGAGGTTTCTGCTCCTGACTCAGTTGTTGTTTCTAATAGTTTGGGTGCTTAGAGAATTTTTTGTTTCCATGTTTGGTCTCTTCTTTGCTTCCTAAGACAGAGCTCCTTGTACCCTTGCTCATTGTGGCACTAGGGAAACCTGTTGTGAAATCTGGTCGTGGATTCTGGTTCCTCACATACTAGAACTCCTAATTTCCTAAGTCATAGGAATGTCTGATGTAACTCCTAAATCCCTCAATTTCCTGGGAGATAAGAGCATCCTTTGTGGTAGGCTTCTGGATAACTTCAGGATGGGGCCTGGTTGCCAGGGAAGCATCATGAATTAGAAAGTTGGAACTTGGAGTCCCAGCTCTTGGGGATTAGAGAGGGGCTGAAGGTAATGGTCAGTAATTTAATCAATCATGCCTACATAATGAAGCTTTCACAAAACCTGAAATGACTGAGCTTGGAGAGCTGGCACATCTGTGGACAGCATGGAAACTCCTGGCTCTTTCCCACACATCTCAGGCTATGCATCTCTTTCACCCAGCTGTTCATCTGTGTTCTTTGTAAAGTCCCTTTATGAATAAACAGGCAGATATAAGTGAGTCTCCGAAATCTGTGAGCTCCACTAGCAAATCAGGGGAAGGGAGTTATGGAAAGCTCTGATTTAATAGACTGTGTAGTCAGAAGTATAAGCACAACTGGCTTCTGATGTGGGTAGAGGGAGCCATAGGCTTTCAGCCTGAGGGATTTGATGACATCCATCTTCAGATAGTGTCACAAGTGATTTGAATGGGTCATCTAGCAAGTTACCTGATGTGGGCTTGCTGATGTGAGGGGAGACAACCCCTCACCCATGTGGTATCAGAATGATGTGCTGAGTGACAGGGAAACTGTCCCATATTCCTGTTCCCCACTTACCCTATCTCCTCCCCAGATCGCATTGAGTCCCAACAGGATTCTGATCAGTTTAGGGAGAGTTGACATTTTAACAGTAGTGAACAATGGTATACCTCTAACTTTTTTTTGACTGCTTGCATTAATATTTTGTAGGTTCAGCATGCAGATGTTGAGTATGTCTTTCTTTCTTTTTTGTTTTAAAGATTTTCTTAATCAGTGTAAAGGCCATGTTAGTTGAGAATTGTATCTGTTCTATATTTGAATATTAGAGTTGAATTTACATAGTATATGTAACAGAATTGAGTTAGAGAACATTTTTGGTACTAATTGAGTGTCTTATCTTGTGTTCTGCCTCCTTGCTCTGCTCCTTTATGTGTTTTTTTTTCTATTTTTTAATATATTTTTATTGTGAAAATACTGTACAGAGGGGTTACAATTACATGGGCAAGATAATGAGCACATTTCTTATCAAGCATTGTAGCCTCCTGCTTTGTTTCCCCTTCCCATCCCTTCGTATCCTCCCCCTCCTTTATGTGTTTTTAGTAGATTTTTACTTCTTTTCTCTCTCTCTCTCTCTCTGTTTCTCTGTTTGTGTCTCTCTCTCTCTTTTTTTGCCAGTCCTGAATCTTGAACTCAGGGCCTGGGCACTGTCCCTTAGCTTCTTTTGCTCAAGGCTAGCACTCTACCACTTGAGCTACAGCACCACTTCTGGCTCTTTGTGTTTATGTGGTACTGAGGAATCAAACCCAGGGCTTCATGCATGCTAGGCAAACACTCTACCACTAAGCCACATTCCCAGCCCCCTTTTTTCTTTTCCTTTGGTAGGTTTATTGGGCTTTTCTGACTAGATGATTATACTGGGTGGGGTGGACAGTTTCTTTGCAGTTGTATGCTTTTGGTTTCTCCTTTCTTTTTCTTGCTGATATCACCATTTGTGGTCCCCAGTGTCAAGTTGACTATGAGTGGTAAGAGCAGTTATTCTTGATTTGTTTGTTTATTTATTTATTTTAAGGTCCAAGACCTTAACTTGACCAGAACTCAAAGTCAGTACCTGACACTTTTGCTCATTAGCTAGCACTCTACCAACTGAGCCATACTTCCACCCTTTATTTGTTTATTTACTTACTTATTTTTGAGACAGCTTCTCTCCATTTAGCCCACAGTGACCTTGAGTGTATACTCTTTCTGCCTTGCTTTCCTAGTATTGGAATTACAAGTGTGCACTACCATACATGGGTTGACTTCTTGATCTTACGAGAAGGGTACTCAATCAGTCTCTCATCATTTAGCCTGGTGGAGGTTGTTGTTTTACTATTAAAGATATACATTATCATAAAGCTTTTTTGTTTTTCTAGTTTTCTGTGCGTGTCCAGAATTGAGACTGAATTTTGTTGAGATAGTGAATTGTGTTTAATAGTTTTTTTCCTCACTAAAAGATTTTTTTATTATTATCTTTAAATAGTTGTACAAAGAAGTTGCCACTCAAGAAGCAGTTTATATATACAGTGCATCTTTTCATCACCCTTTTCATCATTCTCTCCTATTGATTAGCTTTTAAAAGTCAAATTAGTCTTAGATTCCTAGGGTACAACGTTTCTGGATTATGTGTATCTTCTTAATGTATTGCTACATTTGATTTTCTCACATCTTGTTGAAGACTCTTGTGACTGTGTCCTTGAGGGATAACAACTTGATTTTGTGGTAGTGGTGTCTTTAACTGGATTTGGTGTTACAATAATGTTGGCATCATGTTTATGTGGTACTGAGGAATCAAACCCAGGGCTTCATGCATACTAGGCAAGTACTCACTAAGCCACATTCTTAATCCCTTTTTTTCTTTTTCTTTTTATAGGTTTATTGGGATTTTCTGACTAGATGATTATACTTTTTTACTTTTTTTTTTTTTTTGCTTATGTGTTGCTGAGGAATTGAACCCAGGGCCTCAAGCATGCAAGATGAGCGCTCTACCACTGAGCCACCTTCCCAGCCCCTGATGATAATACTTTTCTAGTTTTACAGTTTTTACAGTTTTTACCTACATTGAGACCTGGGCCTAGCTGAAAGGAGGGAACAAGGGACATGGGGCAGGGAGACTTGCTGATGTCATCTATGTTTGGCTGGTGGCGTGCAACATATCTTTGAGTAATTAATTTATGTTATTTTTTGTTATTCTAGTTCATAAGAAAAAGCATTAATAGGGCTAGGAAGGTGGCTCAGTGGTAGAGCGCTTGCCTTGCATGCATGAGGCCCTGGGTTTAATTCCTCAGCACCACATAAGCAGGAAAAAAAAAAGCTGGAAGTGGCGCTGTGGCTCAAGTGGTTGAGCACTAGCCTTGAGCTGAAGAGCTGAGGGACAGCGCCAGGCCCAGAGTTCAGGCCCCAAGACCGGGCCCCCGCCCCCCAAAAAAGAAAAAGCATAACTAATACTGTCCCCTCTTTTTTACTGGATCCAGTGGTGTCTGAGAATGTGACAGGGATGACAGACATGATTAAGCTTCTTAGAATTAACACTGACATCGTGACATAAAGGTTGTTGACAGTAAAAGCAAAGATATTAGATACTCTCAGGGCCTTGCACCCTCATTGGGCATTCTTGCTTAGATGGCACTCTACTACTTAAGCTATGCCTCCAGCCCTGTTTTTGCAAGCTAATTGGAGATGGAATCTTACGGATTTTTGTGATTGGGCTGGCTTCAAACTGTAATCCTCCACATCTCAGCTTACTGAGTAGCTAGGATTGCAAGCATGAGCCACTAGCTCTTGGCTGTATTATGAAATCTTTATAGCAATGAGCACTCTATTGTTAGTACATAACAATAAACATGTTAAAATCTCCTTGATAAAATATCTTACAAAGCTTAATATAATATCCTAAATCAATCTTTGGGTTTCAAATTTGATTTTTTTGTGGTTCCAGATAGCAATTACTATAATATCTTAATATCATATATCCTTATATATATATATATCCTTGAAATATATATATCCTTATATGTAGATATAAGGAGATATTTCTGAATTATATTCATACCAGATGACTCCTCAACGTACTTACAAATACGTTGCTAAGTATGATGGATGGTGCCTGCTGGTGGTCTCAACTAGTTGAGAGGTAGAGCCAGGAGCACTGTTGAGGTTTGAGGCAGCCCAGAATAAAAATCCTTGTCTGCTAAACAAAAGGGTTGGTGTATAGTTCAATAGTAGAGTGTTGGCCTAGCCTGGTTGAAGTGGGGTATTCAATCTCCAAACTACAAACAAGCAAGAAAACAAGCAGACAAATAAACAAAAACCCCACCAAAATGCCTCTGTTGTGGATTTAATGGGTTTAGTTGATAAGAAGCTTAATTCAGGTTCATTCATTTGGCATCTGCCTACAAGCCAGTAGAAATGACTTTACTGATGGTTTGTCAAACTTGTTTCTAGATAATCAAGTTATCTAAAACTAATGTCTTTTCCCTAGCAAAGAAAAAAAAAAGAAAACAAAAAAAACAGGATTTCTAAATGTGGTATTGCTGCAAAATATGAGGAGGAATCTTTTTTACTAGTGGATTGGGTGGTACATTTGACTGCTTTGTTCCAGATAGCAATTATTTCTAATATTTATTTTGCAGTGAGGGCCGAGGCAAGTTGACGGTATTTTCAGTTAAAGCTATGTTAGCAACAATGTGTGGTGGAAAAATGCTGGACAAATTAAGATGTAAGTATTTTCATATTATTTGAAAAAAATGTTTTCAAATTAAGTCTTTCAAACAGTTTTAAATGAATGTTTTCAGACTTTTGGATGATGCTGTATTGAGCTCTTTTGATGGGGGGGGGAGCTTCCTACACTTCCTGCTTCAGCTGGCTATGAATGTGTAAGTTACGCCACCTGCTGTTGGCTGATTTAATTTAAATGAAAGCGCTGAAGAGGTTCAGAATAATGATGTTGACATTTTGAAAATACTCTAAAAATATTTATCATATTATTAACATGTGCTTGGAGATGATTATACTTGGAGCATTTAGTTGGAAAATTAGCTTAATTGCTTTTGCCAGGTTTGTCAAGTTTAGTCTTTTTCTTAATTAACTCAATTCATGATCAGGTAATATTTACCTAATTATGATTAAACTATTCCTGTTCTTAGAAGCAGACTCTGGCATAAATTGATAGTCTATTTTGTTTGATTTTTCCTTTAGTTTTTGTTGTTATTATTATTTCTATTTGGCCACTTTGGCATTTTGCTATTTATTAGGTACCATGGAAGAAGGTTAAATGAAGTCAGAGAGGAGGAAATTCATGATTATTTACTTTTGCTGCTTTTGATTTTTTTTTTTTTGTTGTTGTTCATTCAGTACTGACTACTGAAGATAAGGGAAGCATTATACTGGGTGCTTTACATATGTTCTCTAGTGGAATCTTTAAAATCCTTTTAAGCAGCTGATACGATTTCTTTGTTTTATCGAGGAAGAAAAGCTCCATCTTAGTGGATAAATAAATTGTTTCTCATTCTCCGCTATGCTGACACTGTGTTAAGAGACATATGTGATTATAGTATAATGTTCAGCTACCTGACACAGGTCCTCAGAGAGTAAAACACTTGGTGTCAGATTTCAGGAGAATGGGACTAAAATTACTGGTTTTAATGAGATTTTAAGATAATCTGAAGATATTTTCTGTTGTAGAGTTGAGCTGTCCATCCTGCAGTATTTCCTCTGTGTGTGTGTGTGTGTGTGTGTGTGTTCTGTGTCTGTGTGTGTGTGTTCTGTGTCTGTGTGTGTGTCTGTTATGATTGTGGGGCTTGAACTCTGGGCCTGGGAGCTGTCCCTGAGCTCCTCAGCTCAAGGTGAGAGCTCTACCACTAGAGCCACAGTTGTCACTACCAGTTTTCTGATGGTTAATTGGAGATAAGAGTCTCACGGACTTTCCTGTCTGGGCTGGCTTTGAACTGTGATCCTCATATCTCAGCCTCCTGAGTAGATAGGATTATAGGCGTGAGCCACCAGCGCCTGGCTCCTGTAGTGTTTCTTGTAGGCTGGATTTTGATGATTGCTTCCTTGAGTTGTTCTTTTGTATCCTACTTTTTCCTCCTTTAATTGAGAAGTACAGAGGCTCAATCACATTCAAGTTCGAGTTTGGGGGCAAGATTACTTCCTGTGGTCATTTATTTTCTGTGCTTTTTCTTACATGTCTTCCATGTCATTGAAAATTGGAAATGCAGATTGCCCACTAGATTAGATTTAGACATTCTAAAGAAAGATCTTTGATCATATATTTGGTTAGCCATTGTCTTATTTATCTTCATTTCAAAATCAGCTGCCATGCAGTAACGTAAAATCATGGTTTTACTTAAATACTAAGGTTCCCTCCTGCATTATTTAAAAACATTTTTTTTTGGGGGGGTCCGGTCGTGGGGTCTGAACTCTGGGCCTGGGCGCTGTCCCTTAGCTCTTCAGCTCAAGGCTAGCGCTCTACCACTTGAGCCACAGTACCACGTCCAGCTTTTTCTGTTTATATGGCCTCAGGCATGCAAGGCAAGTACTCTACCACTGAGCCACCTTCCCAGCCCTCAAAATATTCTTTCATGTTTTCCTAATACAGTGTGATGTTTTCCTGGGGAAAATAATATACAGATGAAATTGTTTTATTTAGACACAAAAAAGTTGAAATTTTGTCTGTTTTTAATGATGCTGTTGCTGCTCCATTTGTACTTCTTTTGAGAATGATCTGTTGAATTCATTTGTCCATTCATTGGTTAAGCCATTGAGGTTTGTTTTTTTTTGTATTTAATTGTTTGAGTTCTTTATATATTCTGGGCATGAAGCCTCTGTCAGATGAATAGCTGGCTAAGGTTGGCTCCCATTTAGTAGGCTATCTCTTCATTCTGGTTGTTTCCTTTGTTGTGCAGATTCTTCTTTTTTTAAATTTTTGTGCAGTTCTATTTGTTATTTCTTACTATTATTTTCTGAGCTATTAGATTCCTATTTAGAAGGTCATTGCCTGTGCTTATCTTGAAGTATTTTCCTCTAGTAGTTCCAGTGTTTCAAGTCTTACATTATGATCTTTGATTCATTGATTTTTTTGCACAGAGTTGAGAAATGGGAATACAGTTATGGTCTTTTACATATGGGTATCCTGTTTTCCCAGCACCAGTTGTTGAAAAGGCTATCCTTTCTTCAACATGTTTTTGGCATTTTTGTTGACAGTCTTTTTTTTTTTTTTGGGTCCAGTCGTGGGGCCTGAACTCTGGGCCTGGCACTGTCCCTCAGCTCTTCAGCTCAAGGCTAGCGCTCTACCACTTGAGCCACAGTGCTACTTCTGGCTTTTT